ATGAAAGAAGAAAGCAAAAACAAGCTGGGATATCACGGTGGTTGCAGTCATTACGCATGAATCTTTGCAAACCTACTTGTGAAACGAAATGAAATACTGCTATAACATTTAAAACTTCAAAATATTACCATTACGTATATATTTGAATGTTTAAACTGAATTGAAACAGTGTTATATTATGCTGATGCGACTTTAATCGCTAATAACTGCGAATAATTTCAAAAATATTTCGCACATGGCGGATATGGATTGCAGTCTTGGCTCTTAATTTCCGTTATGAATCTACCGGGGTAATATTAGCCAACCAATAGTCTGGCCAACGTCTCTAGACCAAAAATTACGCCGCTTGTGCCAGTCGCACATTATACGTCGCATATTACACGTACAAACATGTCGCACTTTTCTGCGTGTTTGCTGGAATGCTGTCTGCAACCTTTTTTTTTTTTCAAATTCAGCAGAACCGCTTTGATTCTGCATCAGCGTGCAACTTATGTAACCATTGGCTGACGTGTAAGTTAGATACCCCGATAGACCCCTAGTCACGCGAAGGTTATGCGACATCCACTCGTGCTACAGGTGCGCACTCTTGTAACACAAGATCGGTAACTCTCGCTGACTCGGGTCTATCTATCACGCTCTATATTTATATGGAATAAACTCTGCCACGTGCGTTGATCATTTCCCGCCAAATTCTTTACGTAATGCCTTACCAATTTGGTCACTTTTTGCTAAATACTTGCTGTGTAAGGTGAATTCGCTTGTACAGCATTCAGTCAACCGTCGGGGCTAACGGGGCAAACAAACCATGCTGTCACGTGTGTACATGTATGAGTAGTCGACTTTTAGTTTTTAGAGTATTTTAATAATCTTAAAAGATCACGCTATGGAAACTCATTAAATGCTATATTCGGATATTCCTTACGTAACTATTACGTAACAAGATAATGAGATGAAATGAACAGCTGTTGAAATAAGCTCTTTCATGGCATGCGACATCGTGGAACCCTCCTACTTTCATCATTAAAAACAGATACCATACTGCTGTTCAGCTGCTCGTCTCAGCAGTGTGCCTTCTAAAACCAGAAGACAGCTGAGCTTTCTACGGGGCATCAGCTCTATAAAAGTATGGTTATATGCAAATTATGCAATTATGTATACCCTTTATCATTAAAACTATATATATATATATATATATATATATATATATATATATATATATATATATATATATGTCTCTGCACGTAAAACAAATACTGCACATATTTTAAAATGAAGAAAAACATAACGCCAATGATGGATAAAAACTTAAAAGTAAAACAACCACAACAAAAAATAAATTAATTAAAAACAGGGTAGAGGCGAGGCGTCAGGTAAGGGGGTGGGGGGGGGGAGTGATTGCATTTGAATTAACCTGTTTACTCATACGGCACTGACCACAGAGACAAGTTGGGGGTGGGGGGGGTGGGGGGAGGGTGAAACCAAACCGAAAGTCGACCGTTGATTGAGTCTGTCATTTATAAATACTGTGCATCGTCAGGCTTATTAAAGCACATTAACACCGGGGCATTCAGTATCTCAGCACCTGGACTGTGTTTTATGGGACGACGAAAGTCAAAACACGTTCATTTAATCCGAGTGTATTCTGAGTGTACTGCTTGATTTTACATACAAAAAGAAACCAAAGGTCAGAGTATTTACGGCTTACAAGTTCAAGTTTCACCAGTTCGATATAATATCCACTGCTCTTATTTGTTCAAGCTACTTGGCGACCCACAAGTGGAACTTGTCAGACATGCAAAGCTGGACCCTCTTATTTTGGTTTTAAAACAGCCTCATCGTATTTCTTGCGAAACAGACTCAGCTGCTTCAGCTGCCACTACTTGGACTAACAAGACAGGATTACGCCAATATTTGACCATTTTGTTTTCTTCTCTCTCTCTCTCTCTCTCTCTCTCTCTCTCTCTCTTGATTATTATATATTAACAGGGGCGGATTTAAGCCGTCTTCTGGGTCTTACGGAAGACGGTCAGATTTTCAAGTTTACATTGACGGGTATCTACACTGTAATTTTTTCTGTTGGAAGACGGTCATAATTGGAGGATGAATCAACAAAGATATTTGGAAGACTGTCAGTAAATAGGTCTGGACCCGCCCCTGATTAATCAATCAATAATTATATGAATTCAGTTTCCTTGGCGGAGGTCTGTGCTCTCTGCAATTGAGTGCCTTTTTTCATTATAAATTACATGTACTGGTACATTACTTAACCAGTGTGCGATTAGAGGCTACAGCTGCGGTTAGACAAGAATCCATTTTATATAGCATCAGCTGCTTATATAATAAGGGATCGATCAAGTTGCTCGTAAATTTCAAAAATAGCCTGGTGTTAAAAACATAGCTGGATTCATATGGAGAGGCCCATTCTGGTTAGGTACTTGAAAATGCTGTTCAAATCTGTCCGGTTTCTCCTCGGCAGCCCCTCTTCACTCGATGCACCCAGTATTTCTAACACGTATCAGATTATAAATCAAGGACTGGAAGTGGGCATTAATGAATAGCTCCTACGTTTTATTCGTTTTTTTTTTCTAAGATCCATTTTAGCCAGGATGCAAGGCGGTCCCTTTTTTCATATGAAATTTATAGAGGTTATCACCGACATGTCTTTATTTTATCTGTATATTTTTTTTCTTAGTTCGATTTTTGAAAAAAATTCTATTCTGAAGCTCGTTTGAGGATGCCTGGGACGTATCTTACAAACGAGCACAATTATATACACTGAATTTTATTTATGTATTCATTTATTTCATAAATACTACGGCTGCCTAAATTACCTGCTCTCTATCTAAGATCTAATAAACGGATATATTAGATGTTAGTCTCTATACAGGGAGCTTTGCAACCTCACCAGATCAAACGATATTAAGACGCGAAACTCCCAGCAGGTGGCGACCTCTGCTTAGATCAACACAATTAATCAATACAGTGCCCGCATGTATGCTAAAGTCTGTCTAGAACAACGTTACATGTTGCTAACTACGTTAATGACCAATTGAGTTAACCATTATTCGCTTTTCTATAACTAGTTTCGATTCTTCGCCAGACATTTTTTACTCACGTGCCTATTCCCACGTTTCTCGACCCCTCCTCCTCTCCTCCCAGACCCCTTATACAGTACGTAACAGCTAGAGAGGAAGCCAGCATGTGAAACGTTCTGTTTGTTTAGCCTACAACTCTCCCCGTTCGCGATTTAAAAAGAACGTGTAAAATCACTGGCATCAAGCATATTATGTGTATTATAAGTAGGATATTTCGCGTCTGTTCAGGAATTCATGTAATCAAAAAACCCAGGGCAATGTTCAGTAACCCGGATTTCATTGTTAGGAAGTATTAAAGGCTATTAAAAACCTCACAGTTTAAAACGCAATGAAAACCACCAATAATCATAACGCTACATATATCGGGCATCTATCATAATTAATGTCAAGATCTTTGACAGTTAACGGTGCATAAATATGATATCACAATGGCCATTTTTACTTACCTCGCCTTCTTGTTTAATTTGGGCACTGCTCGTCTATGTCCCAGTGTTGGCCTTGGGAAGATGAACAGGAGCCTTCTCGCTACTTTAGTTCAAGTCCTTTACTCGTATTAGTTTAACCGTGATATGACCTCGGAGTCATTGTTGACTTATCTTCCCTTATTGTACCAGCAAAAATGAATACGAGGCAATATACTGGAAATATTGGTGTATATAGCAGTGATCGAAATTCTGAGAGGCCTTCGAAGGGGGAGGGGCAGGCATGCTGTAGAAGTTAACGCGAAAGGCCTATTTGAGAGGAAAGTGTGTGATTGCGCAAGAAATTTGACATACTCTGGTATGCACTTGTATTACGTGCTCTCCGACCACAGGCTGCGCTGGTAGTGGTTTACAAAAATGTTGTCCCCACATTGTAATTTTGTATAGTATTTTAGGGGGTCCTGATAGCAAAGGTTTTATATTACGCGAGCTTCTGTTCAGCAGATTAAATCTGTTCAACAACCTGATGCGTGTCAGTGAAGGGGTCAGAGGCGATCGAGAGTTGAATGGGAGTGTTGACGCAGTTTTTAAGTGAAACCTGTCGTCCTAATATACATGTATCTGTTGATTTGTTTGTGCTACAGCCTTTTTTACCAGCAGGGTTATATTTAATTATTGATTTTGCGCGGTAAACACTCTTAAACACTCAGCTACACGCCCCTATGTGTACAAATGTAAACTTTAATACATATGAGTTCATGAAATCATCAAATTGCGCGAATAATTTTCCTTTGCTTTTAATCTTGGAAAACAAACATCCAATTTGTCTAAACTTTAATGAAAGAAGAAGGAGCAGCTTCTTTTTTACGCAGCGCATCTTCGCTTCCTCAATACCTCTACTAGGGCCACAGCCTAATTTTTGCACTAAATATTCACAGTTAAGCAATGGACTTTTCTGCACTGTGAGAGAAAATTATACGTAGTATAGTCTGCGGCCCTAGTAGAGAGTACTACCTCCAGACCTATCTGGTGATTGTGTCTGTTGAGAACATAAAAACAATGTAACAAAGCTACAGTTATTGTGGGTATTTCTCCGCAATATAGGTCTGTGTTTAACGGCAATTTTCTCCGACTCATTAGCCGTTGATTCTCCTATCCTGACTATCACCAAAACTCTGTTAAATTTTGGGGAAATAAAAAGTCCACATGCATATTCCGCCAAAGACAATTAAGTCTGTTTCACTTTTAGTATTGTTTTCATTTATTTAAAAAACTCTTAAAGACAACAAGACACACCGTACTATTGTCTGACCACAAATCTCTCTCTCTCTCTGTGTGTGTGTGTGTGTGCGTGTGCGTGCGTTAATAGCAAGACAACAGGTGTATTCATCTGATAGAAAAGTCAACGTCAGTCACGCAACGCGCAAAATACTACATACACGTTTTGCTAGGTTTCCACTGGACAATATGGTCAGCTCGAAATTCACTGCCCGCACTCTACCTCTTCGTGGAACGCTATTGCGTTAAGGGAGGTTGCGTAGCGTCCCGAAATGTACCTCAATCTGCTTTCGCTGGAGAAGTCGACCACAGTCTCTGGTCGTCCTTCGGGAACTCCATAAGGGCCGTAGGTCGCAAGGTTGGTGTGGAAAGTCAGCGACTGAAGACAGTAATTAGTTCGGAGAGTGATGACGACCCTACAAACGAAGCAATATTGGGTATTATAGTAAGACTAACAAAGCAATATCTGGTACTATACGTGTTGTCAGACTAAAGAAGCAATATAGGGTATTGTAGTCAGGCTAAAGAAGCAATATAGGGTATTGTAGTCAGACTAAAGAAGCAATATAGGGTATTGTAGTCAGACTAGACATGTCGTGCAGTAGCAAATCTATACAAACAGTCTTTTTTTTTGTCCTATGAAGAAAATTTTCTAGGGCGACATTTACATGTACATCAAGAGTAATTGGAACAAGTCAGCTTCCTTGAAAAGCATAGAAATCATTTTACCCTGCATGTTCACCTCTTTCCTTCTCATGTCATGTCTGATTATACCCCCACCCCATTCGCCGTTTCGTTTATAAATACCCAATCCCTACTTATAAATACCCAATCCCCTTTAGGGACCATTCCCAATCGTATCCCCTAAGCCTGTTAGACCCCATTCCCACATATTTTAGATCGATCTATCCCTGTGGGGAGTCTCACTAGATTACTGTCAGCTTAGCCGGCTTAAATGTCTGTCCCGCCTACTAAAAGCTGTAAGGGGGTAATTCACTGGCTGACAGCAATTTAGCGTGAACCCCCAGGGAGTTAGGTCGATCTAGATGGATCGAACTAACTCTGTGGGAATGCACTCTTAAACGTTAGAACAGGCGTAACTAGGGTACTGAATTCTACGTTAGTTGCTACGCGAGATAGAAACCAGAACACTTTTTGTTCTTTCATACTTTTTATTCAATCTACTTCTCACCTCTTTTCTCTCTGTCCCATTCAATCTCCCTGCGTAAGTGTTGCACATTATGAAAACAAGCCAATTACTTCTACAGAAAACTCCCAGCTCTTCGCTCACTGCGAGAATATCAATTACCAACATTACATTACCGGGGTAGGTGCCCATTCCCAAATTCAAATGTTACTCACCTTGTAATAAATTCGTCCTCAGCAAATTGCATGGTATTCAGGGCACCACCATCACCTCCCGCCTTCTGTCCGGGGATGCCGCTATATTCAAACTGTATGCTACGGAAAAACCAGTGACAGTGACGGTGAAAAAAAATATAAGCTTGGACAAATAATTCATAAGAGACGTGAGAAAGAAAATAACATTTTTGTTTTATACGAGACAAAGTGAACAGCTCGGTCATATTCAAGAAATGCATTAAGCAAATTTTTAAAAACGCCCATGAGAAATGAATCAGTGATAATTCAAATAATCAACGATTAACTATGAATAACATATGAACCTAACTTTTACTTGAAACAGACCACAATTAGTGTCAATATACTCATCAATTGAAAACGAGGGAAGATGAGTTTGAAACCAATGCGTACCATAATAATTGTTCAAAAAGATTCAAAATATCGATACAACACATCTGTTAATCGATCGCAAATCGAAAGTTGACAAACATTATTCCCATAGAACATACCTATCAGTCCAGAGCCCAGCTCTGACATTTGCTCCGGTGATTCGTCTTGATGACCACACAGCTTCATCATTGAATGTATGGTGTACGAGACACCCGTACGGTCCATGGATGAAGTAGCAACTTTCAAGATTTATCCCAAGACGAGCTGGGAATATAACAAGACAATATAAGTAATTCACACCTTTCTTTTGTTTCCTTTTTCTTTATTTTTTCGCTAGGTTTTTAAATTTTTTTGTCGTCTCTTCCCGTCTCTCAATCCGTGTTTGCCCGTTCACCAACCAGTGTGCAAATCCTGCCACCCGTTTGTCTGTCGTCTGCCACATTCTCCAGTCCGTCTGTCAACCTTGCAACCCGTCCTTATCATGGCGCCTTACAGTCCACATATCCACCCCTTTGTCAACATAACAATCCATTTTTATCCACCCGATCGTATGGCGCCTTACAATCCACATATCCACCCCTTTGTCAACTTAACAATCCGTATGCCCGTTTTAGGTTCTTTTATTATTCATAAATTTATCACCACCTGATTGTCTAGTTTAAGTTTATCAAAAGGGACTGTTACGAGAACATGAAGTTATTTTTCATTGACTTCGCAGTACGTATCATTAAGTTTCATAAAGATTTTGCTTACCTAAATGCACCCAACCCGCCGCGTTTCCACCTATTTTGGCGGGCAGGCTGCTACCATATGTTTCACATACTCCAGTACCCTGGTGGTAGTTTATTCCAACACACGACATATCAACCAAGCAGACCATGGAACAGTCCTCTCTTGAGTGGCCTCCTAGCGATTGAGACACCCCACCCTGCTGGCGATACTCCGCCGTCATTTTGAAGGCAGCACTACGAATCTCTGCTTGACCGAAGCCAACAAAAATAAGAATTAGCAAAAGCGCAGCAATGGCCATTTCTTCTATGTTGTCCAAAAATATCTGATAATGAGCTCTTTTCGACAAGAAGTTTCGTTTTGTCAAAAATATTTTTTTTTCAAATATTCCGTATTGTTTAAGATACGTAATTAGCCCCGGTTAGTCATAACCTGCAAACGGGTTCACTGCTCCTACACTCGCTTCTCCTCAATGAGTCCGAGAACTAGTGCTACTGTCAACCTCTTTTTAAAATTCTGCATCAACGTATCGATAGACCTCGTTATCCTAGGCCTACAGCAGACTCACCTTTCTCTTTTATGTTGCGGATAGCTGAGTAAGGAAAAGGCCACTCTGAAGAAAGGGGTGGGTAGGTAGAAGTAGTGTTTGTGCCAGTTAGCATGCGATTCGATATAAACAACAGTACTGTGATAACGCGCCAATATACGGTAATTATTCGATCTTTTCAATGGGAGAAAATGATCAAACTTTCAGAAACAATTTCATAAACACAAAAAATTAATTTCTGTAATATATTTCTGGTGGTTTTAGTGCAAAGATTAGAACTATAGAGCAGCCTGCTTCTAATTTTGTTGCTACCACTCAGTAGGAATGTTCTAATTTTAAGATATTATAGCTTAAAAGATCTAGTATCTGCAAAATTCATAATTTTCACCATTAAAAAGATCGAACGATTACCGTAGATAGTGCGTAAAGCGACACGCGTTGCTTAAGAACAATCACATCTTCAAGTCCCAAACAAAAGAATTTCTGGACAGATACTTCATAAAAAATTAAAAATTTACGTCTCACACTATAACAGCTACCAATTATTTGTATTCCATTCTGTTACCTTCCCTCACTACCGTCTTTCTATTCTGTTTGCACCAATAAATGTCTAGTTGTGAGTTTTCTGTGAATAAAACAAATTGAATACCGTAATACACACACAACAAGTACATCTTCAAGGCCAAATATACGATCGTTTGCCACAAAACAAAAGAGTTTCAAGCAATGACCTTGACAAAAAATAATGCTTTACGCCTGATACCTGTGGAACAACAGCTGGCAAAGCTTTGTCTTGTCAACCCTTTTTATTTTCTTTTTCGGTCAATATCGTTCCTTGCATTCTATGATTTTACCAGTTGAATACCTAAATATACACTACTGTAATACAAACTTTTAATTTGAATGTTTAAACAACATAAAAGATTAATACAGCTGTTATTCTCATCAACGTGCATAGAAGACATGTATTATGACCAATGTCCATTTTCTGTTGGAATCTCTCTCTCTCTTTCTCTCTCTCTCTCTCTCTCTCTGTGTGTGTGTGTGTGTGTGTGATAGGATGATTTAACACAGACAGTACAGAGGCAAGTCGGTGAAGCGTGTGTGTGTGTGGGGGGGGGAGGGAGGGGGTAGAGAGAACCACTTTTGGTCGGAACAGATTCACTCTGAATGGCAATTTCACTTCAGTTCTGTGTCGTGTCTCAGGTTTGTTCATCTAAGGGGGAAAAAAGGTTCACTTTTTTCTCAGAAAAGTGCCCCTCACCCATTTAATCTAGTAGGCTACAGACTTGAGGCGCCATTGTTGCAACCAAATATTTATCTGTCATTAATTATATAACGGTCGCTTTATCTCAACCGTTTCCCTGGAGCTTTTAAACATTTCGGTATTGTGCTCGTGTTTCTATTGTTGCAATTGGTATTACACATCAAAACACAAAACAACTTCGAGGATGGCACATACAGATACATTTATCAAAGACAAAATTAAAAAAATAAAATAAAATAAAAAGAATCAATCACATGTACATGAATTGCAATGAATTTCTTGAAAAAATATTGAAGAAGTTGGTCATTGTCACCTCAACAACAGGAATAGTCGATATCTATAAGGCGTCAAAACTGGCAACCAACTCTGTACTCAGAGCATAGTACAGTGCAACGTGTCTTTTACTTTTTTACCTACCTAATCATGGCCTTCCACTTGAAAAAATAAGCATAAACCACGTTTTGAAATAATTTCCTTTTGCAAGACTTTTTTTTTACCTTATTACGTCAGTATATGACGTCAGTACATGACGTTCCCTGTGGCGTAATAAACTACATAATAAATAAGAACATGGAAGGTGAAGACTGTTTTAGAGTGCGAAATCCAATTTTGTATGAGATACTGTCAAGTTTGCCTATGGTCAAATCAATTTTAAAGAGGTAATACGCACCGTTTGTGTGAAAGTAACCCGGGTTTTGGAAACGGCTTTACAAGATCCCTATTTTGAGTCAAAACATTGCCATTCGAGATCTCGCATGAGGGTTACTAATAATATAATAAAGAAACAAATAAATTCTCGTTTTGTGGTAGGCCCTATTAGTATTAGTGTTTACTAATGATACAATAAACAAACAAATTCTCCTTTTGTATTACAACATGCTTTTATTACGTCATCATAAACGCGTTTCTGGGATTATTGTGGTGCAAACTGTCCGCCGAATGTCTCGTCTGTGTAGTGAAACCTCGCCCTGAGCAAATTGTGGTAGGTGAACTTCCAAATGAATGCGGTAGATGGCGCAACTGATGGTTGTGCTAGTTGAGAACGAGAGGGTTGTAGAACAAACATGTTATTATATTTAGTTGCAACTGTTATTTATAGGAACGGGTTCCCCGGCACCAGAAATTATAGTGACAAGACAACGACTGGACTCTCGGTGACAAACATGTATTTGACAACTCGTTATATTTCTTTTCAATCTTCACAAATTTTGGAATAATGTTATTGGTGTTTGATCACAAAGTTCTCCTATCTCTCTATTTCTCTCCTTGTGCGCGTGCTCGCGCACGTGTGTATACGAGTGTTTATATGACAGATGTGTAAGGGGAAAGAAAGCTTGTCAGTCATTGTGACTTCAGTCACGTGAGGTTTCCGTTCAACAAAAGTCAGCTCAAAATTTCCTGACCACAGTCCGCCTCTTGGTGGAACGCTATTGCGTTAAGGTAGGTTCCGTAACGTCCAGAAATGTACGACAGCCTGCGTTCGTTGGTGAAGTTTAACACAGTCTCCGTCGTAGTGGGAACTCCGTAAGGTCCGTACGTCGCCAAGTTGGTATAGAACGTCAGCGATTCAACAAACGAATAGTGCAGTGTGATGACGATTCTACAAACAAAGAAAAATGAAGTGAACAATCAAGTTTTGGATCAATATGCTTTCAACTCGGTCTTGATTTTTACGTTTACTGGAAACCAGTTTTTGTTATCAGTATGAGCATCACTGTTTCAATTGTTAACCAGAAAACCACTCAGAAAGCGAATAACTCCGCAAAATACCTCACATCTCACTGTTGATTAAGTAATTAATACACAGAAGATTAATAAATCTCCCGAATAAGATCATCAAACGTGGGCCGATTTCTGACTCATCCTAAAGATTTTAGCCGTAACGTTTTAGTTTGGATATAAACGATCACATTAACAACCAACAAAGTCAAAATCAAAACCTACTCGATGAAGATGATAATTAAATTAATTCATTTTCTCCTTTTCTCTCCCTAAGTTTGATAAAATATATACCCTTTATCCTCAATTCTGCTCATGACCACTGGTGTCACTTTGTCTTTCTTTCTCTACTGTTTTACCCTATTCTTTTAGATGCATGCTGATAATACTGGTAAATAAAAATGAGTTTCCAGTAAAATACGTCTTTCGCGATATTTGTTTTTTGAAATCATCTATGTACGCCATTGAAAACGGTATATACACGCCACAGTCCATGCTTTATGGAATGCCTTTTCTCCTTAAAAACTCAGTTTTCTATATACGTCATAACAATGTCTATACGTAATGGTATTTTTAAACAGCTTTTTGTGATGCATATTTTCTTTATTACTGTAAATCTTTATTACAGTTTATTGCATCTTCTATACGTCTACATTGATTGCGTAGTATGTCATCGTTGCCTCGTCCACGGTGCTGGAGAAGATTTTTTTTGCTCTGCTCGCACATTTAGTGAAATAAAATTGTTTATCTTTTCTGAAATAAAACTAACTCTGATTACAACTCCCAAATATAGCTACAGTTGGATATCCCTTCCCCCCAGTTCCACTTGAAAGATAACTTACTTCGTAATGAATTCGTTCTCAGTAAATTGTAGAGTTTGAGGACTGCCTCCATCGCCTCCCGCGTGTTGGCCTGGAGTACCACCATACTTAAACTGAATGCTACAAAAGAGAATCAGTGACAGTGAAAAACTTACTTAAAGATTTGCATATACAGTAGAAAAAAAAAACATATTTACGAAGAGAAGTGAACATCTCAGTCAGTTTCAGTATACCCAGTCAAGCAAAACACGTCAGTGGGAAATACACCAGTGCCCAAACAATATGCATAGTAACAAGTATGGGTTATACTTATTGCAAAGAGATTAAAATGATGTGAAAAACAAATCCAGTAATCGACCGGGAGATGGTATACATTACAACGCACCTATCGATCCAACTTGCACCTCTGATAGTTACTCCAGTAATTGGCCCTGATGACGACACAGCTGCGTCATCAAATGTTGACTCCCGAAGATTGCCGTAAGGTCCATGGGTAACGTAACATTTTCTATCATGAACTGAAAATAAAATAGTAGTGATGCAAACAATAATGATTTATGTTCTTTCGATCTTTGCTCTATGTATATCCTCTTTTTTTACTCAGTCTCTTCCCGTCTGTCTCTCCGCATGTTTTTCCATCTGTATAATCGGTCGTCCGTCCCTGTGTTAATTCAAAAATCAAATCTATCCGTCTTGTTAGTCAACTTAACAATCCATCTTTCTACCCACCCACCTTTCAACTTAACAATCCACCCATCTGTCACATAACAAGCCATACATCCACCAACTCATCTGTCAGCATAACAAGCCATACATCCACCAACCCACCTGTCAACTTAACAATCCATATATCCACCCCAGCTGTCAAATTAACAATCCATATATCCACCCCAGCTGTCAAATTAACAATCCATATATCCACCAACCCACCTGTCAACTTAACAATCCGTATATCCACCCCCAGCTGTCAACTTAACAATCCATATATCCACCCCCAGCTGCCAACTTAACAATCCATATATCCACCAACCCATCTGTCAGCATAATAATCCATATATCCACCCCACCTTTTAACTTAACAATATACCGGAACCCACCCACCTGTTAAATTCAAATCCATATATCCACGCGCCCATCCGTCCATTGAATGGCTTATATCCAGTATATTCACTTATTTGCTTCCCTGTCTCAATACATAAGCAATTTGCCCTTCTGTCAGATTGTCTGTCAGGGTATGTTGCCATACACGTAGCAAGCCCACTGCTACAGGTCTTATATACATGTACATCTAGCTTCATACTGTCGATTTAAATTTAAGTGACATTTGGAGATACGTCTTTCTCGTTATGCTTTATATGAAATGCCTAGATTTTAATAGAAGTGAAATCATACTACGACAACCCCCCCCCCCTTTGAGAATCCCCCCAGACCATTCCCCTTCACCCATCCGACAATTTCCACCCAAGACACCCCTTCCCAGGAAATAAAATACACCGTTTTTTAATTATCTCTTTGGAGAATTTATACAGTACTTGAATATTTAACTGAAAATAAGAACAGAGACAAAATCTGAATTGAAAACAAAAGTATTGACTACAGGGGCGGATTGAGACCATCTTCTGGGTCTTCCGGAAGACAGTCAAATTTTAAAGTTTACATTGACAGGTATCTATTTTTTTTTTTTTTTTGCTGTTGGAGGACCATCATGAATGGAGGATGGATCAACAAAGATAATTTGGAATACTGTAAAAAATATCTCTGGATTCGCTCCTGGACTATATGTACCAATTACAAGATTCAGGAAGGTCAAGTGCATATACTACAGTACAGTCCCCCTAAGGCCACACTTTTTTATTTTTATGGGTGACATCCTCTGGGGACCCCAAAATCGGTGCGAGCGGGCGAAAAAAAAAACAGTCCAAAAAAAAAAACTGCTTAAGAAAAGTTATGTTTTCAGTACACAGCTGGAAACACTAATTTACCACAGAAACACGTATCAAACTAACAACATGTCTTTATCCATGCTCTCAGAATATTAAAGCATTGTGAATAGGGCCTATTTCGTAGAAAGGTAAAAAGTCATGAATATATATGCTGCATATTACCAAATCTATTTAAGGTTATTTCATGCATTCTGTTGTTATAGCAATCAATAAAACAAATATCAAATAAACGGCGTGTCTTTATTTGTACTCTCAGAAAATTAAAGCATTGTAAACACTTCAAAGAATTGTTTAAAAAATGAAGCAAAGATAGGCCTATGCTTCCTACTACCAAATCTAAAAAAGGTAATTTCGGTCGATGACATTTTGTCTACCTCGACTCAGTTAAATTTCGTGATACGTTGTATAAAATGCGCTTACCTAAATGCACCCAACCCGCCGTGTTTGCGCCTGTTCTAGCGGAAAAGCCGTACGTTTCACACGCTCCAGTGCCCTGGTGGTAGTTAACTCCAACACACGACATATCAGCCAAGCAGACCATGGAACAGTCCTCTCTTGAGTGACCACCTAGCGATTGAGACACCCCACCCTGCTGGCGGTACTCTGTCGTAATTTTGAATGCAGCACTACGAATCTTTGCTTGTCCGGGGTCAACAAAAATAGCAATTAGCAAAAGCGCAGCGAAAATAATTTCTTCAGCCATTTCTCAGAAATGTATTTTTTAAGCGCGTTTTTTCAACAAGAATGCTGTAGCTGTTTGAAATGTCATTGGCTGTGGCGCGGCATCAGTGGCAAATGAAAAAACAAGGCGAGACCAGTTTCAATCATGCCTGCGCATGCTCCGCTTTCCTATTGTATTCTTCATAGCTATAAATGCCCACCTCTTTTTTAATTCGATTCTCACTCCAACATCGATCTGGATCCTCAGATCGATAGAATTTGCTTAGCTGAATTTGCAGCTTATTTCTTCGTATTTGCGCGGCCACATGAAGACAAATAATTGTGGATAATATTTCCGAGTGGGATGGGATGGTGGTGGAGCAATTGCAATGTGCAAACATCCAACATTCTACATGCTTTTAAAAAAAGAAGCTGCCATAGCAGCCAATTTGGAAAGTGTGTAAAATAATAAAGTGAATACATCTTAAAGGCAAAGCGTGCGATGATTTGTTTCAAAGCAAAATATATATATAATAATCATATAATTAGTGAATGATAATTCGGCTTGTAGCGTACTATACTACGTACATGCGGTGTTAATAGAAACTGAGCTAAAGAAAACAGACATTAAACCTTAAAATGGACATCAACAGCGCTTCAATTCCGCAGTGTAGGTCTACAGTAGCTTTCTATTGCAAGCGATCTAGCATTTTAGTTAAATGTTTCACAAAACTGATCTTTTTATGTCTCTGTGCGTGTCTCCTCCGCTATACATTTCACATTTCTGCCTAGCCTAAAATGCGGCTACTGAAATGTATGAGAAATCAAGTGATTAGTTACGAAAGGTTTCCCTTTGACAAACGATATCATATATCCAGCGGTGCAATACCCTACAGAGAATAGAAACAATACAGCTCAGCGGAAAATGGGTTAAATGTCAATACTTTCCAAGGAGGGATTGGAATATATCTTGGTAAATAGTTTGACAACAACAATGGGGGAATTGTGAATATTTCATAACTGTGTGAAAACGTCAGCGGTCACATCTTTGCTGCTCTGAGAGTGCTTTCAACAGAAGATGGTCATTAACGACGGTTTTGGACCTTGAATATAAAGGGATGAATGACAGGTTTTTTATTTATTGATATGATTATTCTTTGATGTTTAAAAAATTTAAATGGGCGTTTTGTTCAACAATAATGTATTTCGTTATTCGGTTTCATTGGATGAAAACTAATAATAACACTGTGATTCAAAAATTAAAAAAAAAAAAAAAAAAAAAAACTATGAAAACCCTATCAACAAGGGCTTGCCCACTTTACTGCAGACCCTAGACAATAAGAACTCGTATACTAGGAATTCATCCATAGACTATAGTCTGGCTTTGGCACACTGTTGTGTCAAACGTATTCTATGTAAAGCTTTTAGATGATTTGAAGCAGGCCTTCTGCATTTGTGGCTGGATCTTAAATTTCCGTTTAGAAAGGAAGCAAATATTTAAAGTTGACACTTTTATCTCACAGGCAGTTCTTTTGAATACGGGTACTCCTAAGGGATGTGCCCTCTCATAATGTTTCTGTTGGTGTTTCACCCACAATTGCACTTGCGTTGAAGATTTAATGACATAAGCAGACGATACGATGCTTGTTGGATTCGTAGCTGCCCTTAGCAAATTAAAAAATTGCAGGAATACTGCAACAATATTTCTACAAACTAAATGTTTGCAACGAATTTGCTAGAATTTGTAAGAAAAAGTATTGCTGCTAATTTACAGTCATACTGTAGCAGTAATACTGTAGAGCAATATAGCAGCAAATTTGCTGCAGGCCTGATATTTTGCCAAGGGTGATCAACGATGAAAGTGCATATAGAAAGTCTGTCGAAAGTGTTTTAAAGTTATGCAAGTGTAATGATCGATCGCACGACATATCAGCAGAGCAGAGCATGGGACAATCCTCTCCTGATCAGCCACGTAACGATTCAGACACCCCACCATACTGACTTTACTCTGCCAACATTTTGAAGGTACCAGCACATGAGGCAGCGCGCTCAAACTTAACATGGAGGAGAATGAACAACAAAGCCCCAATTGACGTCTCTGGCAGTCTCAAACTACTGTCTACTTTTAAATAGGGTTCCTCTTTAAAAACGGATCTGCTTGTAATTTTTCTGATCTTTTCAGCTGATTCACACTGTACATTCACCGTTCTTTTGTAAATATCTATTAGTGATTCGACATTGGATCCAACCGTGCCACCTCATCCATAAAAAATAAAAAACACTAAAACAAGTTAAACTAGTACTGTTGTGAATTTATTTCATTCTGTGTTCTAAATCTTTGTTTCTAAATCTTTCTTTTGTCTTGCCTGTTGAACAAAATCAAATTGTAGCAAAATAGTTCAACCAAAGCTGTTTTGGACAAGAAGGATCCATCTAAGAACATCTTCCAATTGTCTAAATCTGTATAAATATATTGCAAAAAAAATCTTATGTATAACTACCCCCACCGGATCGCAGAAATTAAAGGCTCGTTATTTTTAAATCTCCGTCATTCCGTGTTCTCTCTTGGGCCAAACTACATTGCCCAAGAGGCGAATAGGAAGTCCGTTCCAGAATCCTAAATTCACAGACTCTGAAACTTGGAGGTCATGTGGAACAAGTAAATCAGATTGGCCGCTATACCAGTAATATTCAGCAAAGAACTGATCCCGTGCCATTTGGCAAACCTTTTGTAGGTCCCTGCATACGTCACGTCACGAGCCTTCAACTCAGAAATCTGTTTGAGAACTTCTGGGCTCGTTGCCAGGCCAACACTCCCGATGTCGTTATCGCGCTCTATTTTGAACATTCTGGTTAAAATGTCCTTATTCATGGGGACGATATAGACAACTTCGACCAAGGAGCAGACCAGGGACACTGCTAAAGCTGATGCCTTTAAAATGAGATGAACAGACATTATGATGACTTCAATCAAACATGTGCCTTTTTAGTACTGGTAAGTCCATACAAATACCGCAGGTCAAAATATCAAATTATCAAAAAAAAAAAAAAAAAAAAAAAAAAAAGGAAAAGAAAATGCAACTTTTACTTAGGGATACATATGTAAGTATATCACTGGTGCTGCCTAGGCAGAAAACAGCCTGTCTTCCCACCATTGGTGCTAATTGTCTGCTATGATAATTAAAAAAGAGAAATTTAAGACTGCCTTTCTATTTACGTATTGAACTGTTGTGTCTAAGCTAAATACAGGTAAAACTGCACACAATTTGACCCACCTGGACTTTGAAACTCCTATCCCAGACACAACTGTTATGAGCATATACAAATGTTGCCAAGGCAACGGCCTCTAAGGCAGATCCTAGCCCAAAATACGCTGGGAACATGTAACGATTTATGTGGCCAAAGGTGTGTCTGGACGTGCTTTTCAACAGAACAAAGGCTGGAAGATTTGGATAAAAACTTTTAATAGCGTTTACATGCATTTATATAATGCAGTACTCTCTAACTTTACCCGAACCTTTGTTTCAAATGTAGTAATAATAAAAACATAATTGCACAAATTAAAATAAAACATAAAAGAAGTGTACAGTAAAATCAACTGTGTTATCTTAAAGGGATAATAACTCTTCGTATCTATATTTAAAAACATTGTGAACAACTCACAGAAATATAATATATTCTGTTTTACCACAAAAACGGCAGTTATAGCTATTATTCTGATATCTGAGCTTATCTTTAGGCCACGTGACCTCCATTGATGGCTATACTCTGTTATAATCTCTTAAGAGATTATAACAAAAAAAAAAACTTTTTAGAAAAAAAACAGGGACTAACTTTGAATGTAAAAATGGATTCATTAACCATTGGTAAGTATGGGAAAATTGTTGTTTACTCCAGGAAAATTCATTTTTTTTGGCCAAAACGAAGAGTTATTATCCCTTTAATCATGGCTAAAGGAGCTCAAAGTACGTGTGTAGCCAATAGTAAATGAATAAATAGTATCTAAATGAAATGCATCAATAGATTACTAAGTTAATTAGTAGGTTATGAAGTAAAGCCCCCTTTACACTGGACGGCGTCTTTTCTGCGTCCCGTAGTGCGGCCCCGCTTTAAGAGTTAAAAATAATAATATATTATGTGCCGACAACTGGCCGATCATTGAGCATTCATTCTGCAACCAAAGCGATGCTTGTGCATTCTTTTTACGACCACAGCAATGCCGATTTTCATGCTCGCACAAAGGGCGCAGAAAGGACACCGTCCAGCGTAAAGGGGGTTTAAACAGGTAACAAATATAATAAATGAATAATGTAACATCTACAAAACGAAATGCATTAAATTTTCGACTGTTTAAAATAAAAAATATTATTAGACACCTGATACAAATGATACCCATACTTGCATCCCAACATGTGAGGAGATAGCAGTCAGGTGAAGAAACTTAATGAAAGTCCCTGGTGGACTGGGCTCCTCTCCATCTCCTCCGAACACAGCAGACACACACGTGACCAGACACGTGACCAGACATGTGACTAGAACCAGGCAATTCCTAGATGAGAAGGAGAAACTGTAAAAACTGTGAAAGGGCGCCGTCGTTGTGGTTGTCTTGTTGGCTACAGTGGCTACAGTGTATAAGCACCCAACGAGGCTGCTGCTTGTGGGAGCTCTTGGAGCTTCTTATCGCCAAAAAGCGTGCGTCAGAAAGGGCCAAAGAGGTACCTGTATGGGCTACATGCAGACGCTTAAAATTATTTTCTCGACAACCTATAAGTGTTTCGTCACAGTGTTAACCATGGTATAGACAAATGGATGACGGTTTATTACATAGTGGTTGTCCTATAAAATCAATGGGCCATGAAATTGCTAGAAAAATGCGAAAAATGGACATTTAAGACTTGTTGTCAACTTTTAGATGGGTATAATTACGTAAATTCACAGGCGATTTAAATCCAATAAATCTATAAATCAACCAACAATATTTAATCATATAAGATTAATTTAAGCTTGAAAGGGAGTTTAATTTGATCAATTCAATCTTGTTAGTCAATTAGGTGCACTCCCAAGAGTGTGTTTTTTTTAACGTAGTTATGCCTAAGGAATATTATACTGTATATTTGCGGAAATGGCAAGTGTTAATTTTTTACTCTTGAACCAGATCCAGGGAAAGCCTACGACTCGACATTTTGCATAGTCCATGTCGCAAATGTTAGCTCATTATAAGACAGACATGCCAATGAGACCCATGCATGCAGCTACTATACTGAATATGAGAGCATGTACAGTAGATGAACCCTGTTAACGTTGAGGACAATACAACCAGTGACAATAAGGCACACGCGCCTCCGTCTTTTATTTACTTTCTATCTCTACTTGTTCTAAGAAAACCCTCTAGTAAAACACCGTCTGATGTATATCTAAAAGCAATATATATATACATATAACACTCACACTGTGTGGTTTTATGAAGGTTATAAGAACTAGACTTGCTTAAGAAGTCGTAGGTAAATTGGAAATTGCTGCTTTGTGACCATATAAGAGGGTCCTAAAGGGTATTTTCATTGCCCGTGAAAGCCACTTTTTTATTTTCCGAGATGCGTGAAATGTTCATATGATATAGCGTGGTCCGTGAAGCACCACATTCCTGTGACTCGTGAACGCGGCCTGTATTCTTAATTGCCTTTCGTGGTACGGAGTCATTATACATGTACCCGGAGAATGGTGATTTTTATGGTTTTCGACTGGCGTTAACAGTGAGACCTGAATAGTTATATTCACTGTGATTCGTGAATTGATAATAGTATTTTCCGTGAACTGTGTTCACTACCCCTCCCCAGGGGACCCTCATATAACATAACATCATGTGTGCTGATGCAGGCCATAGCAGGTAAAAGTGACATTAACGAGGAAACGCTTGATAGACACAGAACATAACACAACACTTCCCTGGTATTTATTGCAAACTGCACTATGGACCTAACCATTAAATGTCAAAATGTGTACCTTAACATTTGAAGTATCGGATAATAATGAAGATAAAGATAATAATAATGATCAGTAAATGTAGTAATGCCTTGAAATGGTATATTTATTCATGTCTTCGTGACTTCGTTGCATAACAGCGAAGAAGAATTTTGAAAAACTGAAATACCTGTTTTATCCCTATGTTAACATCACGACATTTATTAGTTTCACAAGTGTGACTTATATGTCGATTATGCATATTTGTTTTGATAGACATGGCAAATTCCGTTATTCTAAATATTCAATTTATCATTAAGCCTTCTCTTCGACGACTTCGTGTGTGAAACAAACATAAAAACAAACAATAATAGAAACAAAAAAAGTGAATGCTGATGGACCAGAACTCTTATTTGCAGAAATTTAAAGTGCTATCAATGTCACCACCAATTGGTTGTATAGGAAGACCACTTTGTAATAAAGGGTCATACATATGTCCATTATAATAAGGTGCCAAAACAAATATACAGTAGGTTGTCGACGAATTAAAAAAAATCATGTGCGCAGCGTCTAGCCTGAAAGCAACGATGCGGAAAAGTTGACAAAGGTCTAAGTTTATTGCTCGACTCTCCCCTTATTGTATATTCAATGAACGTTAAAATGCCAGACCAAAGATAAGTTATACAAAAATGTATCCTCTCGCTCGTTTATCCAAACCAAGCACTCGGTGAGGCAAGGAACGTACAAAAGATTAACGAACGAACAGACGTACATTGTATTAGTACTATACGTACTTGCTCCGGGTACCGTAGTAGTACAGGATTGCCCTACTTATGACTACTTATACGGGGATGGGGGGGTGAGGGGGGTGGGGGGCTGAAACTGAATAGACAAGTACATGTTCTAAATTGTACTGATATTCGTCAGGATTTTTGTACTACATGTATTAATGGTACCTTCAGACGTGTACTAATGGTACTACTAAACAAAAAATGGTAAAGTGATCAAAGTCAGGATTTTAAAAGCATTCTAAGTGCATGAATGCTTCTTGTAGAACTTACACGAGGACAATTAAAACCTTTAAAACATACATGTATGCTAACAGACAAAAAGTCTTTATCAATTTCGCAAAGAAATTACCTTGTACCGTTACTCGCCCGATTGCATACAGCCATCTTTATACAACGGACATGTCTTTACGTACATGTTTTGAAAAATGGATGAATCTTTAGCTTGCAAGTGTTACCCTTATTGAAGGCAGTGGCGCCGACTACAGGAGATTATTACAGTACGCCGTAAACACACACGCTAATAGACACGTGACCTTTAACGAGCACGCCCTAATGCTAAATGTGTGTAAATTTGGTGACATTTGGTGGTGTCAATTCAATTTAATGGGCATTTGGAACATCGGTTCTGAGGGTGTACATGTAATAAATGTGAATAAATGGTATTAAATATGGATATCTTAACCGCTAGATTGTATTTTCTGTACCATTAACCATTTTAGTTATGGTACCTGGAATGAAAATCATCATTCATAGCAATTAACTTATTTACGTACATGTTTTAATAATAGATGAATCTTTAACGTGCAAATAGTATTTGGAAAAGCAAAAGAAAAAATATATATTATACCTTCTGGGTCCTCAGAAGGCAATTGATCTAAGAAAAAAAAATGGTAAAGCATAGAAAAAATATTTATATGAATAGAAAAGAACATTTGTCATAGCCTAGGCCTACTAAGATTCTTTTATTTAAAAATTCTATATGTATTTTTAATCAACATTTGTAAAGAATTTTTTTCAGTGTGTGAATGGCGTGTGGAAGGTGTCTTTGTCTCTCATTGTGTTGTAAATGTTCTGTATTAATTTTCGTGAATAAAAAAATCTTCATTGACTAAATTCCTTTGCATTTACATAAAGTCCTTTTACCGATGACGTCATGAATGTGATTTTAGGATAAAAATTGCACAATCGGTTTCTCACATTTTTCCTTTACCGGAGCACCCACGAATACCGTTTCAAAGCTAATTAAACGACACCAATGAGTATTTTGAAACCCTGCCAGCGATTTTTATTAAAAGCCATAATTCAGATCGTATCGTTTATGAGGCACAACATGCCTTTGTTCAACGATGGATTGTAGTTGGTGGCTCAAAACTCCAGGGCAAAAACATTTAAACCAAAACGAGGGCGCTGGATTGAGGCATACACTTGCCGCCAACTTTGCCAATTTTTTGTGATAAGCTCTTATTCAGGGATGGAGATATACCCCATCTGGATTGCTATCTCATCTAAAAAAAGAAAAGTGTTCAGTTGACGCTAAACGCAACACGGTGCTTATTTTTAGCAACGAGGAATATAGATGCCGAAATTTTATATAACTGAAAAACCTCATTTGGTATCCATTCACCCTAACAGTACCCAAATATATATATATATATATATATATATATATATATATATATATATATATATATATATATATACACTGATGCTCATAAGTTAAGCAACACTTTCTTATTTCTCGAATTTCTCAGCAACCAAATTTTTTATTGAGGCAAAATTTGTACAGTAGCTAGATATTTCTTTTGTTTTTACTTTGACTTACTGGACCGTGACATTAGTGTACTATTTAATGTTGGAGACGATAGAATATGCAATGGGGGTGCCACTTGCGAAAAACACAGTTTGGCCATGCCATGAGCAGCTTCCAGTTTGGGTAGTTTCATGGGCACAATTTGTTATTTTGGACCAACCAATGGTTAGAAGAGGACTCAACGAGGTAATCAGATGGCAAATAATGGGAAGTCATCGTACTGGGGTGCCAAAGAGACAGATTGCAAGGCAACAAAAAAGCAGTACCAAGTCAAGTGTCCAAGCTGGTAGCAAAATGGCGCCAAACTCATCATGTATTGGACAAGCCTCTTTCTGGTAGACCAATATTAACCGACGCAAGAGATGAAGATATCTGGTTCGATTATGCCACCAGGACCGGTTCATATCAGCCAAACAATGAAAAATTGCTACCGTACGTCATTCAAGGGAGGTGCCCTGGTCAACAATACAGAGACGAAATACCATTGGGGTGCATACAATCACACATTCAAGCAAATCCAGAAAGAAAAATCATTTTGGTGCAGCTCCCATCCAGAAAGCATGGTCCGTGCAAGATGCGCTGCAATAGCGCGGTATCCCACATTTGTATTGGCCTGCATATTTATCAATTCTCAATGTAATACACCATGCTTAGGATATGATTGACAGGGCAGTAAATGAGTGACAACGTCCAGTTAGAAACATTAGAGAGGTCCAGCAGGCAGTAAATGAAGAATGGAACCGGCTCTCAAAGCAAGATTGGCAGAATTTGGTGGCAAGTTGCAGGAGACAATGTGAAGCTGTTGTACAAAACCAGGGAAAGCACACCTGATATATATTGCATAATAGACGAATAATCATCTATTATCTACAGTCTTCTTTTATTAAAACTAATTCTTAAATGATCGAACTTTATTTTTTCATAATTAGCTGTTTTAATCAGCACGTACTTTTTGCTGTGTGAGCATACTTTTTTGACACATGGTTTGGCATATTTTAGTACCGTTTGGTTAATAAAGATATTTTGTTTATTACAGTAAGCTGTGTGGTGTATTTCTTTAACCGAAATATTCAACTTGAATAAGTTATTTATAAAATATGAAAGAAATATGCATAATCCCACCAACAAATGAAATAATGATCATGATAGAAGAAACTTCTGAAAAAATCGGGGTGTTGCTTAACTTATGAGCATCAGTGTATATATATATATATATATATTGCCCCCCCCCCCCCCCCCCCCGCCAGTTCAGAGGTACCTCAACCGTGGAGAATGAAGAAAATTTGCCCGATATCCTTTTCTAGCAGTTTTATATGGATCAGAAATACTAGGATATATAAATCATAATCTGAACTTACATTTTTAGTTAGTGACTTTGCAGTCTTCACCCAAGGCCTTGATGTAAGTTTCAGAATTTGATTTATACGTATTTTTTCAAATTCTTTTGGATGACTAAGACATTCACTCTTCAGCATCCACTATAAAGTAACAATTCCCCTTCTAACACCCTGTAACTGCTGGCATTTTTCCGATCTCCTCAGTTGAATCCAACTGGAGATGCACCGTTTTTGTAAATGCTCATTAGTGTTTGTATATCATGAAATATCCAAACGTCTACTGTTCTTTCAGAGCAAAATAAAAACTGATGAACTCATAATCAAATTAAGCATTTCTGTAAAATGATTTATTGCACGTCTGTTATTTCGTTAAATTACTCTTTTATTACGATGCCTCTAAACTGTGTACAATATCGAATTGTCAATAAAAGTGTTCTGCCTAGTTTCCCCGGGACAAAAAGGGCTCACCAAAGGAAAATTCCAATTGCCTAAATCTGGTTATTTTTGAAGCAAATCTAATGTATATACAATGTAGATGTCCTCTTTAGACCACAGAAACAATAGGCTTGTTACTTGTAAATCTACGTCATTCCTTGTTCTCTGTTGAACCAAACTACATTCCTCATAAAATCCGTCCCAGATTCCTAGTATCACAGACTCTGAGACCTGGAAGCCATGTAGAACAAATAAAGCAGATTGGCTGCTATTCCAGTAATATTCAGCAAAGAACTGAGCAAGTGCCATTTGACAAACCTTTTGTAGGTTCCTGCATACGTCACATCACGAGCCCTCAACTCGGAGATCCGCTCGCGTTCTGCCGAGCTTGTTGCCACGACAACACTCCCGATGTCGTTATCGCGCTCTATTTTTTTCATTCTGTCAATGAGTTCCTTGTTCACGGGGATAACGTAGACGAGGTCGACCAAGGCGAAGACCAGGGACACTGCTAAAGCGGAAACCTTTAAAATGAGATAAACGAACATGATGATGACTTAAATCAAATACCGCAGGTAAAAAAAAAAAATCAAATTATCAATAAAATAAAGAAAAAAAAAGGAAAATGCAACTTTTGAGTAGAGATTCATATGTAAGTATACAACATTGGTCAAAAAGGTTGTCCCACCCCCATTTCCATGTACTTTTATTTACAAATGATCACCTCACAGCTGTAAATTGTTAGAAATAGTGCTTTTTATTACAGATACCGTGTCTAACATGATTAATGGTAAAAAAAAATACAAAATAGTGGTGAAAATATACATATTTTATACAATTAAGTAAAATTTATAAGAGGTACCCCCTCAAATCCACTGGTTCATTGTAACTTCTACAGATGTAAAGAAATGTCTATTAAATTGAAAAGACGCCATCAAATGTCACCAAATTCACACACAATTAGCATTAGGGTGTGCTCGTTAAAGGTCACGTGCCTAACAGCGTGTTCGTCTACCGCGTACTGCAATTATCCCCTGTAGACGGCGCGACAAACCTTCAACACGGGTAACAAAATTGTTATGTGGAATATTGTCCCATTCTTCTTAAACAAGTTGGGGGAATTGGTCCACGTTTTTAAGGGGTTGGTTCTCTTTTGCATTGCACACTCCAATTCATGTCACAGTTGATTAGTAAGTTTATTATCAGGGATCAAAGATGGTGGTTCCATCCTTAGAACATTGTGCTTCTTCAACAAACACTTGCCAGGCAAGAGGTGTGAGCAAGTGTGCAGTCATGATGAAGCCTGGAGTTAACCCCAAAGTCAGTTCTTGAAGATGGAATGAGATATCAGCTGAGAATGCTTCGTTCAGTGATCCCACAGGCACCTGAACCTGGCCATCCATCAGTGGAAGGAAGTCGGTTTTGATGTAGAATCAAATTATTTCTTTTATCCCATCGATGTTCAAATGAGGATCCATAGACATGTTAAAAAATGCCTCTTGAATGGGTGTGTGTAGGATAATATCGCCTGAGGTGTTAGATCAGTCCGCATTTGGTGAACATTCCAAGCCTATGGTATCAGTACATTGTTCTTTTTGGAACAAAACGTAACAGGGACATTTTAATGCAACATTCTCAACAGAAATCTCATTCTATTTGCAAGAGGTGACTTCAGGGATGCTACTGGCTTCATTGTGACAACGCACTTGCTCACAGCTCTCGTCTGGCAAGCGATTTGTTGCAGAAACACAGGACTCTGAGGATGGGACAACCGTCTTTGAACCCTGATATTAATCCTCCTGAGCACCTGTGGCATTAATTGAAATGTGCATTGCAGAGGAGAACCAATTCCCAAATAATCTTGACCAATTCCGCCACGCTCTTTGGGATGAATGGGACAATATCCCACATAACAGAATTGTTACCCGTGTTGATGGCTTGTTGCACCGTCTACAGGAGATAATTGCAGTACACGGTAGACGCACACGCTGTTAGGCACGTGACCTTTAACGAGCACACCCTAATGCTAATTGAGTGTGAATTTGGTGACATTTGATGGCGTCTTTTCAATTTAATAGACATTTTTTTATATCTGTAGAAGTCACAGTGATACAGTGGATTTGAGGGGGTACCTCTTATAAATTTTACTTAATGGTATAAAATGTGTATATTTTCACCAGTATTTTGTTTTTTTAACCATTAATCATGTGAGACACGGTATCTGTAATAAAAAGCACTTTTTCTAACAATTTACAGCTGTGAGGTGATCATTTGTAAATAAAAGTACATGGAAATGGGGGTGGGACAACCTTTTTGACCAATGTTGTATCAATTTAACAGTGATGTCTAGGTACAGTACAGTTGACCCACCTGGACCTTCACACTCCAATCCCAGACCCAACTGTTATGGGCATATATAAAGGTTGCTAAGGCAACGGCCTCTAAGGCAGATCCTAGCCCTAAATACGCTGGAAGCATGTAACCTTGTATGTGACTAAATGTGTGCCTGGGCGTGATTTTCAACAGAAGAAAGGCTGGAAGACATGGATAGATGTTTTATAATGTGGACCTGTATAATGCAACACCTTCACTTTACCCAAGTCTAGGTTGCAAATATAATAATAATAATAAATTTACTACTATTACTATATTATTATTATTACTATTATTATTATTATTATTATTATTATTATTATTATTATTATTATTATTATTATGTATATTGCAACCGAGATTTCAATTTCAATTTATCCAAGTCTCTGTTGGAAATATAATAACAATGAATTTACTAGTATTACTACTACTACTTAATTATTATAATTATTGTAATTGTCATTATTATGAATTATGTATTATTATGAATAATGCAACACTTAACACTTCTACTTTACCTAAGTCTCTGTTGCAAATATAATAATAATAAAAACAAATTTACTACTATATTATTATTATTATTATTATTATTATTATTATGCAACGTTTTCAATATTTCGAAGTCTCTGTTGCAAATATAATAACAATAAATTTACTACTATTACTACTACTTTATTATTATTATTATTATTATTATTATCATTATGAATTATGTATTATTATGTATAATGCGACACTTAAACTTTACCTAAGTCTCTGTTGCAAATATAATAATAATAGATTTACTACTATTAATAATAATACTACTTAATGATTATTATTATTATCATTATTATTATTATTATTATTATTATTATTATTATTATTATAATTATTATTACAGTAACATTTTCGACTGTTTAAAATATTGAAATAATCATTAGACACCTGATACGAATGACACCCATATTTGCATCCCGACATGTGAGGAGATAGCAGTCAGGTGAAGAAACTTAATGAACGTCCCCGGTGAACTGGGCTCCTCTCCATCTCCCCCGAACGCAGCAGACACACACGTGACCAGACACGTGACCAGACATGTGAACACAACCAGCCTCGCTCTAAATAAGAAAGAGAAAACTAAAAACGGCGAAAGGGTGCCGTCGTCGTGGTTGTCGTCTTGGTTACAACGAGATTGCCGCTTTTAGCAGCTCTTGGAGCGTCTTATTGTAATTAAGCGTGTGTCGGAAAAGACCAAGGTATAGTTGTACCTGTATGGGGGCTGGACGCTTCTGGTCTAAATCCTTTTTTTTCTAATTTTTTCGGCAACCTACTCAGTATATGTTTCAATTCAACAAGACTGTTTTAAACTAAAAAGCATTATCCATAGCAATATGTATAGCCCAATAGGTGCAGTAACCTGCCATAGTCTGAAATAAAACAGTTCTGCTTCAATCCAGTTAGAGAACCATACCATACCATACCACAAATTACTTCTCCCATCTATTCAACTACATGTCTACATTCCTCTTATTATATTTCATTATTAATTTTACTCCCAACAGCGTGCTTATTTTCTGTTATTTAAAAAAAAACCCTGTTATCAGAGAGCCACACCAGTGCATACAGCCAAGATAATGAATATGAATTTAAAATGCATGTAGAGAAACCCTGTTAACGTTGAGCAGATTACAACTAGTGACAGTAAGGCACAATCCCCTCCTTCCTTATTTTCTATATCTCCTGTTGTCAAAAATATGCCATTGAGCACTTCCGTTAACCTTGAAAGACACTTTATATTTCCCCAGATGCGTGAAATGTTCATATTTTTACCGTGATCCATGAAGCACCCTCATATAACGTTACACGTGTTAATACAAGCCGCAGCAGGTAAATGGAAAATGCTTGATACAATGTAGACACCTGTATGACATAACACTTCCCTGGTCATTTATTTAAGACTACACCATGGAACTCACCATAAAATGTCTAAATGTGTACCTTAAACTTGGAAGTATCAGACAGTAATGAAGATAACGATGAAAATAATGATATTTGTGAATGCTGCAATGACTTGAAATGGTACATTTATTCATGTTGTTCGTCATTTAATAGCATAATAGTGAAAAAGTATTTTGAAAAACTAAAATGTCTGCTTACTCCCATATGTTAGAAATTAAAATGAAGCATTATGACATTTATTAGTTTCTCAATTGTTGTTTTATATGCCAATTATGAATATTATGATTATATATCTCTTGATAGACTTGGTAACTTTCGTTTTTTTAATATCCATTTTATCGTTAACCGTTCCCCTTGACAACTTCACGCATGGAACAAACATATTGGAATTTTAAATCTGTTGAAAAATTAAAATGTGCTCCAGAATTGGTACTTGCAGAAATTGGAAGTCCCCTATTACGATTACTATTTGCAAAAAATTGAAATCCACTATTATGGCATTTATACCCAATGTAGAAAATTAGATAGTAAATAAAATTACGTTACATACATATATATGCAAGATCACGAGTAGGTTATGAAGAAACAAACTAATAAATGTTACGAATAAATAAATGTAAAACCTACAAAACAAGATATATTAAAATTCAAGACTGTTTGACATCACTTTTGACATCACAAGGCTCCAAAGACTAGTCTAGCCTGTTGCAAATTGAACTGATTCAAGAAGAGAAAATTCAATAATCTTGTAAGAGATTACTGGCGACTCCTGTGGTCAGAGAGTAGTACAAAAGCAGATATTCTGCAATTACTGTATATACTACTGTATCCTGTGCACCATAATTATACCAAAGGATATTTCAATCAAGACAAAAAGCTGGTAGATGTGAGAGAACTGGTTTCCGAATTACCTGTCAGCTGCCATGTCCTATGAAAACCCCACGACGTCATGTAAAAACATCCTTGAAATTGTAATACTTATTCTATTTAGCAACCAATCAAAAACTGGGTTAAAGGTCGAAATAACTACCAATGGGGTTTTTCTTTGGGAAAATTTAGCCCACCACTTTGTGTTGGTCCACGTCAATAAGACATTCAGATAAACAAGACAACTTGGGCACTGTTAATAGAATGCACGTGATAGTTTTATTTATGGCCGGTCCTACTCTCCTAACCACGGGCGTAAAAAATTCGGGAGCAAAAGGTTAAATATTTCTTGTACATCAAGCTGTAGTTGGTATTCTTTCCTCGCTAGTTTGAGCACATTGTCATTGGAACGTGCCATGGTCTTAATTAAATTTGTTGACTGTGCGTGTTGAATACCGCAATCAGTTAAGCTTCTTATTTAAGGGTATTGTAAGCCTTTATTATCATCCAGATACCGAAATCTTTTTGCTGATTTAAAATAATGAAAATGCCCTCGAAAATATAAAATATTGGCGTTTATATTTCTTGATGCAGTGTGTAAGCATAGGCAACTCAAAGGTTTTATCGTCGGTTAAACATCTTTCTGTTTTGAGGTGAGATAGCAATTGGTATGGGGCGTACTGGTATTTTCATCCTTAAACAACATTTTACCACGAAAATTGGCATAGTTGCCTACAAGTCAATGGGCAACAATACCATGTCGTCATTTTGGTTTAAATGCTTTTGTTATGGATTTATGAGCCCCTAATTACAGGTTTTCATTAAACTAAAGAGTATAGAAATCAACTAACAACAAATATAATGAATAAATAAATGTAAAATATACAAAACAATATGCATTAAAATCTCAGGCTGCTTTAAATAAATAAATATCATTTATGTATATACACATCTTCTACTACCAGGCCTACCCAACTACCAGACTCGGCACCGAATGATCCTGAATTCACCGGTAGATCAGACCACACTACCCGTTTTCAAGGTGTGTGTCAGATCGCATTACACAGTATCATACCCTGAATAAATTCTGAGTGGTGATGCAATGCTTTTCAACCCCGCTGAGAATCGTAACTATCACATCGCGTACTAGGCAAGAGCGGTGTCGCGTCTGATACTGTGTAATGCGATCTGACACACACCTTGAAAACGGGAAGTGTGGTCTGATCTACCGGTAAATTCAGGATCATTCGGTGCCGAGTCTGGTGGTTGGGTAGGCCTGACTACCCTCTGACATCACTTGGGTCCAAGCACTAGCCTAGCCTGTTCCAAAGAGAACTGATTGAAGAAGAGATAACTCAACAGTTTTGTGAGAAAAACTACGGGCGACCCCTGTGGTCAGAGATTAGAAGATACCGTACTATTACTGTATACACTACTTTACTGGTAGTAATAAAATTTATTGTTCGCAATAGCTCGGTTATGCCAATTGTCAGTTTACACAAGGTTTACGAATATCCTTAAACATTGGAGGATAGGAGTCGTGAGCCGGCCGCGCTTGATTTTGTAATTTGTTATCATACTTTATATATATGTGCCTTCCTTTCTGGTAAACTGATAGTAATGATGGCATAAGGTGTATGTAAAAACGCCACTACTATTAATATTTAATGGAAGATTATTATTTGTTTGTATTATAAATGGTACTTACCCATTCTCGGCTCTGGTGTTGGGTGGTGGGGGGCGTTGTCGTACTTACCGACAAACTTCTCTTTCACTTGACTTATGTCGTCTCGCTGGTCGTAGCTCTGCTGGACATTGGTCAGTATTCGGTTCAGGTGTTCACGTGGACGCTATCGCGAAAGATTAGTGGACCTCAGCTATTCCCGCAATTGTATAAACATGGCTCTTCCAGCCTTGTGCGTACGCGATTCAGATCTACTAGTAACTGCGTATGCGCGGCCACCTCAGAGACTCCTTTCCTCCCAATAAATTTATTATTTTGAAATAACAATCTTATATCTTGTGCACATCTACCCACATTATACCACAGGATGTTTCAATTCAGCCAACAAGCTTGCGAATCTCAGAGAACTGGTTTCCGAATTACCTGTCAACTGCCATGTTCTATGGAAATCCCACGACATCATGAGAAACATCCTTAACATTCTTATACTTATTCTATTTAGCAACCAATCAAAAACTGGGATTAATGTCGAAATAAAAACCATTGGGTTTCTCTTTGGGAAAATTTAGCCCACCATTTTGTTTTGGTTCCTATCATTGGCTAATAAAAGATCCAGATAAACAAGATTACTTAGGCACTGTAAATAAAAATTTACGTAATAGTTTGATTTATGGCCGATCTCTCTTACAGCCCAAGAAAAACATATGAAAAAAGTTAAATATTTTTGTACATCAAGCTGTAGTTAGTATTCCTTCCTCGCTTATTTTAATACACTGTCATCGAACCGTGCCTTTGCTACCGAAAAGGAAGCATGGCCTTGGACTTAATTAAATTTGTTGACTGTGAATACTGCACTCGGTTAAGCTTTTGCACTGAGAAAACTTGAAACGCTCTGCTTAGTTTATTTGTTGCGATGGTTAGATGTTTTCTAATGTTTAAGACCATGTAACATCATTTATTATCTGAAATAATTATTGGCAAATTCATACCATTCCAGGTGCATTAGTACGGCAGTGGCGGATTAAGAAGGGGTGTCGGGGTGTCCTAACCCCTCTTCGGTTTCTAAAAAACACATCACACCAATATTCCCCTCTCGAAATGAGAATTTTGACTAGCTAAATCATAGTTCTGTCAAAGGGCACTGTTTACTCTCCAAAACACCAAAAATATTTAGGGGCCTTTGAGCAGGCCCCGAACCCCACACCAAGGGGGCGATGGTCGGCTTTGTATCCGAGGCCAGTCGTTCTGGAACCCCCTCTTCAAATAATCCTGGATCCGCCCCTGCTTTCAGTGCAAGCAGTCGAGTGACCTGGGCTCCGTATCTCGAAAGGTTCGCTATGTTGCGCACGTGCGCAAGTGTCTCGATTCCATAACCGATTCTTTCGAGATACGGGGCTATGGAATCGAGACGCTTGCGCACGTGCGCAACATAGCGAACCTTTCGAGATACGGAGCCCAGGTTGACAGTGGCAAATATAAACCTAAGGAAGCTCTGAACAGATGTTTTTGTGCCATATGATAAATCTTTAGTGGCTGCCTATCTCCATACTAGCTGCATTTCTTCTAGTTTGTCTCTCATATATTTTGTTATTCATAATCATTCGTAGCCTTACAGCACCATCCTCCCACACGCTCGCCCGCGCCTATAGTTTTAACGTACCTGGTTGTGATAAGAGTGACATCTGCACAGTGGCGGATTTAGCGGGGGAGGGGAGTCAGGGGGTCCTGACCCCCCTCCTTTCGGTTTCTGAAAAAATCACACTAATATTCCCCTCCTGACATTTGGATTTAACTAGCTGATATATAGTTCTTAACCATTCCAAATATAACCGTTTGACCTTCAAAACACCAAAATATTTTGGGGCCTGTTAGTGGGCCCCAAACCCCACCACAAGGGGGCCAAGGGGCGGCTTCGAATCCGAGGCCTGTCATTCCTAAAAAACCCTAACTCCCCTTTCAAATCCTGGATCTGCCTCTGTCCTATCACCTGTATATCCTGTTCAACAGACAAAAAATGTCTTCTTTGCAGAATTATTTGTCAAATATGTTTCTTCTCAAATTTCGAATCGATGCAATTGCTTTTACAGGTTTGCACGTTTTGAAATGATTCCCTCTTCTTATAGGGCGTGCTTAACCGAAAACCGTTCCGGTGTGGGCCGCCTTTGATCAAATTGTGCTGTTAAACGTCATAGGTGAATCTAAACTAAATCTCAGCACAAAATGAAGTCACAAAACGTCCCGTGTCGTCTTCTCAAACAAGGCTTCGTTATAATTGCAGATATAAACATGTACAATCAAACTGGTCCTCTGCGTGACAAGGTAGAAAGTTTCCATTTGATCTTAAGTCAATAACGAAACTTCCACGGCTCCGTGGTAATTCCGCTGTCTTAAACTACAGAGATACCCTTGTACGCGCGTTCGAATGCTAGAGTGTGAAAAGCAGTATTTTTGCTAGATATGATTTCTGAAAATTGCATTTTATTACTATAAGAAGTAAAACGTATATCAGGTGGGCGGGTGGGTCAGGCACAGCGCTGTCGTTGACGTGCTCAGCTGCAAGAAAAAAAAAAAAAAAAAAAAACAGTCCGTTACAGCAACGACCTGGCCCTGCAATCGGGAAGTCACGGGAAAAAACCCCAGTATAGTTTAGAATAAGAAATCGATTTGAAAAAAAATTATTGCTGGTCATTATCTTAAACTCTTCTTTTCTTTTCACTTTTAAAGTCTTTAAAATGAAGCTAATTCGGGGATGGTCAGAGTTCTCTGTCCTTTACCATCTAAGGCACAGATTAAATTTGAATGGAGTCAATAGCGGCATGGCGGCATGCATGTCATACTGTCCTTTCAACAAAAAGTGCTATCTTCTCAGCAGGAAGTATATTTTTTTCAAAAGTCACGTCGCCCCTTTTGCTTTACCCAAACAAGTTGTTCTTTTTTTCATGCCCCCCCCCCAGGGCCCCTGCTTATCAAGATTGTTCAAATGATCATACAGTCCCTGGGGCAATCCCGCAGTCGACATTTCAAAAGGCATAACTACTCAAAACTTAAATCGCTCAGGTGTGAACCGCTTTGGCTCTCATCGTGCTCTATAACGTCACAGGTGAAGTCAAAATCAGTTTACATATAATCTCAGTAATCTCAGTGTAAAACAAAATGAAAGTAAAAGCATATGAAGTCATCTAACTAGGAACGTTCCGGGCAGACTTTTCAATAAAAGCGACCAAACTTGAATTGATTCAGTAGCTTTTGATATCTGAAAAAAAAAATCACACCAATGGTCCCCTCTGAATTTTTACTAGCTGATTCATAGTTCTAAACCGTACCAAGTGGCACCGTTCGCCCTCTAAAATACCATTTTCCCGGTCCCTTCAGCGGGTCCCGGACCGTGCACCAAGGGGGGAGGTCGACTTCACATCTGCGGACCTCCCCCCCCCTTCAAAAAATCCTGGATCCGCCCCTGTCATAGCAAAAAAGAAAATAAAAATTGTATCTAGGAGCGCACCTTTTCGGCTTCTCAAATAAGTGCTCGTGTGCATGATGAACTTG